CCAGAAAAAAGAAAAAGCCTATTTTTTCATGGTAGAGTACCTTGTCATAAAGAACGAAAGCAGCTGATATTGTCTTCACAGTATGTTTAAATAATAACATGAAAATATGATAAAAAAATAGCTGTTTACTCATTCTGGTTGAAAACGTCTGTCATTCAACTATTTCTCCATTTTAGAAAGTTTGAGTATTTTTATAAAAAATGGGTAGCGGATGCTGTAAGAAAAAAAAACAAGTTGCACCTATCCCACTTGCAGTTAAACCTTCGGAGCCAGTTGTAGTACATAACATAGTAGAACAAGCACGAGCAATACCAAATGGGTGTATTTCAATTTACTGTGGTAAGTAATAATAACAGGATCTTTCTGTAGAAAACAAGGCTGAAAAAAATATCCTAGGAAAAGATTGACTGTTATTATTTAATTGTTCTATTTGTTAAGGTGTTCGCTCTGGGGATAATTATACGAGTCCCATGTTAGCTGTTCATACTTTCACACAATCAACTGCTTTGACATCGTTAGAACAAAATCAGTCAGTATCCAACCTTGAACAACAAACAACGACTACTACTGAGAAAAAAATGGCTATTAAGGAAGAAATTCATATGATCGCTGTGGAAGATATACTCAAAATATATGTTGAAGTGTCCAACAACAAGAAATGATAAATGTTCGTCAAAGTGTCGAGCAAATTAAAATTGAAAAATGTTGTCCTTTCTGCTGTGAATGTTGGTGTTGGTGTCGAACAGAAAGACGAATTCCGCCACCACCACCGGAACGTGAAACTCGAACACAGGAAGCGAAACAAGCGACGAGAGTCCTTCTCATTACTATTGAATATTCGAAATATAGCCATCCGAATACATTGTCAAATGTTCAAGCGTTTTCACAGCAGCAACGGGATATTTTTGCCAAAGAAAGATTTAAATCAGATACACTTAAGTTTTATTTGGTTAACAGCGCTGAATTTGATAATTCGAATTTTAATCAAAGGCGAACAGAAGCTGAGTCATTGTGCCGTACGGTAATGCAATTAAAAGCAATGAAAGAGTTCAAATATCCGAATGATGAAGAACTTAATACAATTTTGAATCAAGCACGCCTTGGATTATTTGGGCAAGAACAGCTAGCGATCATGTAGGAATGAATACATAAATGATTTATGCTGTTTTTAATTGTTGTTTCTAACGAAATGATTATCGGCTTGTCCACGTAACGCGACACTTCGCTGATCAAGTTTGTTTTTTATTTTTTTTCATCGGGAAATCGATAGGAGCCGATCACCAGACGTAGTTTTTCATGCTGATCACGAATTTGGCCTTTATTTGAAAAAAAACTGAATTTTCAATTAAAAAAGTTAAATTTAAAAGTTTTGAAAACATTATTTTTAATTTTCTGACCTAGAGGTTTTGTAAAACAATTTTAAAAATATACTGTCAAATAGAGAATTCAATTCTCTACAAAATGGCTCGTTTTGTTTTGAAAAATATTTCTCAGTCGAGCCACAAGGGCTACTTGCAAGTTTGAACTCCCGACTCGATTTAAAAGCCTGAAGCATCTTCTGGAACTTTGTTTGCAAGTGGCGTATCTCCGGGAAGGCTAGAAGTACTCAGGCTATAAGTGTGAAGCTGTTTCAAGAACGTTGAGTGCTCTAAAATGGTGTGACAAAAAAATGTGTAACAGCGTTACGTTTGTTTTTTGCTTTTTTTTACACGAGTAAGAATAGTTAGAAGACAATTTGTTTTACTGCTGAAAAGCTCGTTCGACGCTCTATGAAATTTGCTGTAGGAGCATTTCGTTTGGAGAACGACTTTCGCAGGAAATTAGGACTGTAGCAAAAGCACTCCGAATATAGGGTCTTTTTATGTAACAGCGTTACGAGATGAAAAAACCTTTCGCGAAGCTTCAGACTTCAACCAAAAAACTTCGTTTTTATAGCATACATACAGTATGATGAGCTGCGTCGAATGGCATTTGAACGAACTTTCTAACTCTTAAACTTTCCGAGATAATAAGAAAAAGTGTGTCAAAAACGTAACAATGTTACGTTTGGACAAGCCGTTATATAAAAAAAGTGTGTACTTTAAAAGGTTTCATTTGTCTAAGCAGATTTAAGAAGATGGCTTTTTCTGTTGATTCTTTATCCTATCGATGTTGGATTTCTCGCAGTTCGCTAATTCAACTTTCGCCAAGGTTCGCCAATAGACATTCGCCTATCGCCAATATGGCGAATATCTATTGGCGAATTCATTGTAATTTTTGCAGTTACAGGACGAGCACTCCAATGAATACTGAGGACAGGTACTTGCGAACGTCGTGTGAACAGTGCCGAGTGTGGACAGTGGCGAATGTCGTGTGGACACTCGCCAGTCGCTAATATGGCGAATGTCTATCTTATAGTTTTATTGTAATTTTTGCAGTTACAGGATGAGCACTCCAATGAATACTGAGGACAGGTACTAGCGAACGTCGTGTGAACAGTGCCGAGTGTGGACAGTGGCGAATGTCGTAGGGCTATTGGCGAATGTCAATGTGGCGAATATCGTGTGGACACTCGCCAGTCGCTAATATGGCAAATGTCTATTGGCGAAACGCGACTTTAGCTCGATGTTACACAAAGAAACCTAATGTATACCGTTCACACTTTTTTTTATCATATTTCCTGCCAGTTTCTAAATATGGTATTAACACCCATGCGAAACAAAAGATCAATGAACTCCTCAGCAAACATCGAACAGCTCATTTCAGTCACTTGTGAGTGCGTCTGCACTTATACGTGGCAGATTCAGCTCATCTCCAGCAAATTAGTATGGTTCGATCTGGAGGTGAATGTTGAAATCATTTTAGCTGGGAAAAAAACCTTTGGAGTTCTTCTGAGAAACAAGCCAAATAGGTTAGATTGAGATGCATATAGGGTCTTGTTTTAAGCTCTGGGTCGTTATTCTATATATTTTAGCGCAAAATATTAAAAGAAATATTTTGTCTCGTTTATTTTTGTTACACTATAGTGTAAAAGAATAGGTGTCTTACTGCACAATCAGAAATGCGTCATGGTGCCTTCGTGTCTAAATGTACCTTAATGCCTGAACTAAGGCGTCTTATTGTGTCAGGCGTCCTACGCCTCAACGTGTGTTTTGAGTCTACGTACTTTCTAACCTATACGAAGACTATGAAACTCAATTTAGGATATTTCTGAATATTCTTTCTTGTTTTATTTTTTATTGTTACGTTTCAAAGTCAAAGACGTCTCGCCAGACAGAAGTAGAATAAATACGAAGAACAGGTAATTAATTAGACTATATATAGGTAACAGTACTGGCGAAAGCGAAACTTTCCTGTAAAATAAAGAATGAGGTGCCCGTTTATGTATTGGATACAGAAGAATGCTTCTATCTCAATGAATAAGCAAATTCTGGAAAAAGAATATGTAACTTTTTTCATGCAGATGTGGCGAGCCTAGCGATATAAAGATATTGCCTTTATCTCTGTCTTAAAAATAGTTGATACATTTAAGGAATTTTTGCTATCGGTTAAGATCTAAAATTTTCCAAGGTCATGTAATATTTGACTGATGCAAAACTACATTCTTAGATTCGATCTGAGCATTGGCCCAATAGCATTCTGCCCAAAGCTTTTCCCTCACCTACCAATTCTGAAGAAAGTGTATGGCACTAAAACGAAATACAAATCGAAAGTAAAGCGGCATGTGCTTATTATCTATTTATTTGCATGTGCCGCACAGTGTGCGGTATTACTTTTTAGTTGAGGTTATCATGAGGTGTCTCCGGATGCCACAAGTCTTTTTGGTGCTTTTTCGTGATATCTTACCTTTGTGTAAGATAAATCTATCTATCTATCTATTTATATCCACGGTAACGAGCAGCACGGAAAATGACTGGCAACAGTCGGAAAATTTTCCTGCCTACGCAGGCATCGTAAAGTGTGCGGACCGGGATTCTACGTTGAAGATGAACATTCAAGTATTGACCCCGAAACGACATCAAGATGTCTTTTTCGTAACATATTTGCATATCACAGTTAAATTCTTTAAAGAGCTCAAGAGTCAGTCGCCAAACCATCAGGCATTAGTCAAATGGGCCAGGAAACGAAGAAAATAAACTTATATTTCCATAAAAACTACTCCATTTTATTCGCCATCAAAAATTAGCTGTACCTTATAATTTTTTCGTTTCGAGTCCTTTTCGTTCTGAAATTATAAAAGTTTTTCTGAAAAGAGGTCCCAGACTGAAAAAAATACATTATTGACAATGCTTATTGCACAATACCACTATTATTCTTTATCTCTTTGCATGTTTGGTGACCAGGCTACCACAGTTGAGGCTTTCCTCTGCATCCACTATCGTGCAGAATATGCGGTATTGAGAACAGCCCATAGCTACGGTAACGAACAGCACATAAAATGACGGCATCAGAACTGGCAACAGTCGGAAAGATTTCCTGCCCAAACAAGAAACGTTAGGCCACTCTTGTATTAGTGTATATTTACAATACTTTGGGTGCAATTAATTGAAACATATCTAAATGGTTTGTGTTTACCATAGTAACGTACAAATAATTTTATTCAAGAATATTTTGGTTTGTAAAACACATAAGTACGTTACTTATGCGTCCGTCATATATGGAAATACGACAGACAAAACTCTTGACAGACTAGAGTCAGCTCAGTATAAGGCAGCTCGTGCGGTGTCAGGTGCAATGATGTACGCGTCTAAGGAGAGAATTCTTAGAGATTTAAATTGGAAATCCAAAGAGTGATTTATTGGCTGTGCAAATGATCAAAAAAGATAATTGCAATTGTTTTATATTCACGATATTCTATCTAAGAGCAGCGTGCTTTAAACCATGTCCTCACTTGATCAAATATTAAGCAGATTAATGTATATAGTACTGGGGTGATCAATTTGACTGATACCCCAACATTCATTTATTTGTGCCACTTCATCTACGCATTAGCAAAATCTGATTTTTTTACCAGTTATACTACATATATAATGCTACTCATCTATCACTATTTGAAATCTATATATCACTAGAAATGAGAATTATTAAGTACATCTTTGTATTTATTGTGTTAAATGTGCTTCACATGGTATATGTTAACGTATACCATTCCTGCTAACAGGATTGAAACAAAACCAAAGATTAGTAGGATAGTTTCATTCTCAAATAGTTAATGAGAAGATACAACTTATGATTTTGTTTATCAAACGAATAGGATGTTTATTTAAGTTCAAATTACATAAAGCAGAAACGATTTGTACGATTTTAGTTATTTTATGAAAATCATCAATAGCTCCTCTATAAACACCACCAATAATTGCATAAGTTTTAAGACGTTGATTGATATTTTCAATCGCTGCTCTTGCACTATTAATATCACGATTGAAATTTTTGTCTTCTTCTGTTAACTCACGTCCACAAGGTTTCTTTCTTGGAGTGACTACATATTCTTCGCCGATATATCCCTTGTCACCAATAATTTTTACAGCTTCTTCAACATGTTCTAACAGTCCTGATTCACGAAGGACTGTAATATCATGCTTACTTCCAGGGTGTACTACTCGATGACGAAAATCACAAGCTATTTGTACTTTTATTGCATAATTTGTTGGACTTTTTGCATGATAATATGCTTTACGTTGTTCTGAATCATGCGGTTCAGGAATCGCAATAGAAGTCGAGCCAACTATTAATTTATGATGTTGTTCAGGCCCATGTATGGTGTTCTTCTGTTAGATAAATCAGCAGGTAGAGAAATTAATGATGGATATACACACGAATGTAAAATATCTACAACTGCTAAGAAATAATTCACTGCTGCTTGACTAAAATTCAATTCTGAAGTAATATAGCGTTCAGAATGCTAATGCTTTAAATACCATAATGTAACCACCAGCAAATTCATAGGAGACAAATAGGATGTGGCCGTACTGTTCCAATGTAACTTGTCCCTATGTGAACAATAATTTATTAGTGGTTCTTCACACATAGAATACAATTCTTGTACTTGTTCAACGTCATGCCCAGTATGTTGTAAGCAAGATGCATCAGTGCGTTTCCATTCTGACCATGGACGTTGATCTACAATATATAAAAAAGTGCAATAGAGATTTATTTTTGACTACTAGTACAAGGTGAACTGGTTATAATATCCATACAGGTGGAACCAGTCCGTAAAGATATGAAAAGAAGCGTTCGGGTGTTATATATGCATTACAGCGTGTCGTAATCACAAGAACGCCTTTGTCTTTTATCTTTTAGTAAAGGTTGGAACCAGTCTGAATACTGTTTTGGATAGCCCGAAGATTTTTCTATCCAATGAAGTGCATATGACCGTTTCATGAGAAAAGTTGATAATAGGGTTTCTCGAAAATCTGACCGTTAGAAAACCAACTCCTGGCTTTTTGATAAGAAAATTTTACATGTTTAATGTTTCCAGGGGCGCTGAAAAGGATTTTTAAGGTCTGGTTAGCGTTGATCACCGACAAAAACTGCATCCGGTGAGTTAACGGACGATTGATTAGAGCGTAGACCGGTTTTGCCTCTTATCGCCTCCACATTAAATTTGCATTTTGCTAGAAGCAGAAAATTAGGTGATTTTCGTAACTCCGGAAAAACGTTAGTATAGAGTTGGTCCCACTGCGCATCATAAAAGAAGTTATCAAATATCGTATTTTCTGAAAAAACGGAATTTGTGCAATTTGATATTTCTAAAACGGTCTCTTGTCCATTGAAAAATTATTTAATCTAAGTGGCCTCGTATGAGAAGGAAGGCTCGTCTACGGGAAGCAGATCGTGGCGTGAGGCTTGCCTAGCGCGCTTCAGTCACTGATAACTCGCCGATAAACCTAATGCGGTAAAATTCCATAAATATTTAACCGAATTAAACGCATTCATCATGCTCAAAAAACTGGAAAAGAAACGGTGACATTTTTAGCGTTATTTTGTAAGATGTTTTATTTCTGCAAAGAAACACATGAAAG